GGCCCCCTCCGCGGGCTGCGGGTGCAGCCTGCCCCACGGCGAAAGCTCGTTGAGCCGCCTGCTGCGCGCCTTGCTGGCCGCCCGAGCCAGCCTCGAGCTCTGCCTCTTTGCCTTCTCCAGCCCGCAGCTGGGCCGGGCAGTGCAGCTGCTGCACCAGCGCGGGGTACGTGTCCGGGTCATCACCGACTGCGACTACATGGCCCTCAACGGCTCGCAGATCGGCCTGCTCCGCAAGGCAGGTAGGTAGGCCGGGATTCCCAAGCCAGGGGCGCGTGTCCGAAGAGCTGGATAGAGAGGGCCAGGCCCGGAGATCGCTCTAACCCTCCGAGACTGTAGACAGAAGGGAGAATGCCAAAGGCGGATACTTGGGTCGGGGGCCTGAGTACAGGTGAGACCCCATTTATTTCCCATGGTGGCCTTGTAAGATCAGGACAGTTTTACCCCGGAGAAACTCCAGGGCCTTCTATAAGGGGCCCCCTGTCCTCACAAGGCTGGTGAGATTCTTTGCAGTGGGATTTCATGCCCATGATGAGTGTGAGCTGGCTTGTGTGTTCTCATCTAGTGGAGGAAGGGCTAGAGGACTCCCAGAGGCAGGGGTCTGCCCGTGGACACCTGGGAAGTAGACAGAGCCCCTGCAGTGTGCCTCATTCCACGCATTCGCATGATCCGCGTTGGCCTTGGGGCCCGGTAGGGAACGCCTATGCCTAGGCAGTGCTGGGGGTGTAGTCCGGCCAACTGAGTTTTTGACAGTGGCAGCCTGAAATGAGGATGGCTTGGCCTGACAGCACTCAGGAAAATAAGGGAAAGTCTAAGAACAAAGCTGCAGGTCCACCCACTAGCAGGCTGTTAGTGACTGTGGTCAGAGGAGCAGGTGTGCAAAGATTGCAACCGTAGGGCTTCAAGATTGAAGAGCAAAAGAAGGAAGGTGGCCCTAAAATATTTAGTTGGTGAGTGGTTAGTTTCTCCAGCTGCAAAAATGCCTGGGAAGGCAGATATCTCTGGCCAGCCTACCTCTTTTACTCAGATGGGGAACAGATAAGCAGGAAATAGGAATCATTTTGTTCTAAATTCAGATCCCTGGTCTCACCTGTGAATTCCTTGTTTTATTCTTCCACCTTAGTGTAATGGCGTGTTCTGCAAGCAAGCTCTGGTCCTTGTGTTTTGTTCGTTGGCTGCATGGAGTCAGAACGTGTCTCTCAGTCACTCAGGCACCCAGAAAAGTCATTCCTGCACCAAAATCCGTCCCACCTGTCAATTCTAGTAGCCCCAGTGACAGAAAGATGCAAGGAACTCTTGAGAACTGGCTGTGTAGTGGTCTCACGAGAACTCTTGAGAACTGGTTGCTCTGAGTTACACAAGCACAAGCATGGCCTTTTGCTGACCAGGGAGGCAGAGAAGCCTTTCCAGGAGTCAGGTTCTGCTTCCTGTCTCTGCTTGGGGCTCTCCAGATGGCAAAGCACTTTAATCCTTTGGTGCTTGTTGCATCCTATGTGGGCAGAGTCGGAAACTTAGTTCAAATAATGAGGATGTTCTCTTCCACTCTTCCTGAACTAATCATGAGTTGCCCTAAATTTGTTGGTCCTTTTAATGGGGAAACTGGGATATCTTTAGGTATGGGCCATTTTATTTAGTTAGCTTTGAGAGAATGGCAAAATATCAAGTTTGAAAAGAACCTTAAAGGGCACTGCAACTAGACTCCATCTAAGATTGATTCCCCTTTGATGGCGTCCCAGCCATCATTCATCATTCATCTGTTCAACAAATATATCTGTGTGCCAGTATTTGCCTTGATTAGTTCCAGGCCCCAGGGACACAGCGATGAACAAGATAAAGACCCAGTGGAGAAACTGATTGAAGCATGAATATTTAAGGTAGTAAGAAGGGTCAAGAAATATGAGAGGTGTGACATGCCAGCAGAAGGGGGATATCTGAGGGAGAGCCTTCTGGCTTGAGGAACAGCAAGTACAATTGCTAACTTCATAGCAAGAAATTCCCTGTGGCCAAAGGTAGAGGTAGTAATGAGGTGAGGCTGGAGACCACACAGGTGTGTAAGGCACATAGGTGTGGGGGGCACACAGGTGTGGAAGGCACATAGATGCAGAGGGCTGGTTTCATGCGGGCATTTGGATCCCATTCTATGAGACGGGAAGCCTTTATAGGATAGTCCGCAGGGCAAAAGGGACAGAAGGCCTCACAGAGGATGTCCAGGCTGCTCTGAGGAGAATGGGCTTTGGGCAGGGGTGGGTGGCAGATGGGAGAGCTTTGTGGCAGTGTTGGAGGGGTCAGAATTGGTTGGATTTAAGATCTGTTTTGAAGGTGGAGCTGACAGGATTTGCTGGTGGGCTGACAACAGAGTGCATGGAGCAGTGGTGCCGGCATCCCCTGGAGTAAGGTGGTCACCACTTTGAAGGTGGTGCTGCTAGGCAAAGTACAGGTGCCCGGGTAAGCGGTGAATTTCAGGTAAGCAACGAATGATTTTTAGTGTGTGTCCCAATATTGCATAGGACATACCTTAAAAAATTATTTGTTGTTTATCTGAAATCCCAACTTAATTTGGACAAACTATATTTATTTGCTAAGTCTGGCAACCCTATTGCAAAGCAGCCTGTTTTAAACTGTTACTTTAAATCACATTTGTAATGGTCTCATTCACTGACTGGATAATTAGGCATTATTCCAGAGTTGATGAAGAGTGGACAGGACAGACAGGGTCCTGCCCTAGGAGTTTGAAAGCAGTGTGTGTGAGAGAGAAACAGTGAAATGAAAAGGTACATTTACATGCTCTTTAGTCAAGGAAACAGGCAACGTGAAGGAGAATAATTTGTTTCTGTATCAGTTAGGGTGCTTTCTTCTTCAGCAGTCAGGCTGGGTCTAAGCTGGGGGCTTCACTGAGCCAGAGCCAGCTGACTTTCTTTGATCCTTAATTCCCTTACTGCCACTCACCCTAGGCCTGGTTTCTCCTGCGCTGCTTCCTCCTCAGGCTTGGCCCCTGCCCTTGCAGAGTGGGGTATAGCTCCTGGCCTGGCATGTTTACTGGGGTGTCCAGTGCTGGATAGAAGTGAGAGCTCAAAGACAAGGAAACCCCAGCAAATGATGTTTGCTCTGATCGCTTCTGGCAGGATGAACGAATTCTGAAGGTTATCCTGATTGGTTATCCAGAGGTGTGGTGGGTGCAAGGTGGGTTGTTCCCAGAGGAAACTGAGTAATATTAAGAGAGCAGTATCTGAGTATCTGCCATGGTTCTGCCCTTAGGATTGTCTGTCTCTTCCTGTGCCAGAATGCTCCTTATTCCTTCCTGTGAGCTGGTTGTGGTTGGTCACTGTACGGCTCAGCTGCCACCACCTGCCCAAGTGACAAGCTTCCCCTTTCCCACCAAATCAGAGACAAACAGCAAAGTTAGTAGCTGCTAGCAAATGGTCCCCTGCTTGAGGAGGAGCTGAGATGTTTGAGTGAATGAATGCTGTAGAGGTGGTGGTGAAGGCTGACTTGCCCTTTTTGCAGGTATTCAGGTTCGACATGATCAGGACCTGGGTTACATGCACCACAAGTTTGCAATAGTGGACAAGAAGGTACTGATCACCGGCTCCCTCAACTGGACCACACAAGCCATTCAAAACAATAGAGAAAACGTTTTGATTATGGAGGATGAAGACTATGTGAGGCTTTTTCTGGAAGAATTTGAGCGTATTTGGGAAGAGTTTAACCCTACAAAGTATACTTTTTTCCCACAAAAGAAGAGAAGTCACTGAAGCTGTGCTCTCACCTCTGTCTTCAGAGTTGGAGGGGAAAGAGGGGTTTAATGTTGTTGAAACCAGGCCAAACCTTCAAACCTTCAAGGAATGGGACGGAAGACCTGCCTGTGTCCTCCCCAGAGCCACTGCGAGTTATGGTGCCAGAGTCTGCATTCTGCTTGAGAGAAACCTCGACATTAGAAAAAAAATCATTCAAACCAAATTCTTGTTCATTAAATACTAAAGTGAACTAAAGAATGTTTAGTGTTAAAAGGGCAAGAGACTCTTGGAATGTCAGGTCAATTGTGATGGATAGAGCCTTTGGGTATTTTTTTCCCCTTCCACCAAAAGTAAAAGCAGTTATAGCTTTAGGAGCCTTGCCTTTGCCTAGTACTTTCTTCACAATGGAAGGATTTCTCCTGCTGCATGGAAAAGGTGCAATGCCTCTTTCAGGGTTGAAAATCTGATTTCCTTTCCTGATTCTAGGGAATCTCCTGATCTCGCTGACCCCCATCCGTTCAGCCTTTAGTTATTTCCTGAAATGTTCCCTCTTCTTTCTTTGGGTTGGCCCAGTCCCTGTTCAGCACAGCTAAACCCCGGGATTGGCTAGAGGTTGACAGTCTCTTCATCCCTGTTGTCACCAGCTCCTTGGTGGTTTATGGGCAGGTCTGAGTCAGAGGATAGAAAGGGAAGAGGAGTGCTGGGCACAGCAGGAGCAGGGGCTTTCTTCCAGGGCCCCTCATGAGCTTTAGTTGCCACTGCAGCAGGCAGGTCATTTTCTTACCCAAGTTTCCTTGCAAAATTACTCTTTAAAACAAGTACACATGAAATTGTTCATCCGTGGCAGCTTCCCTTCTAGTTTCATGTGGTCAAGTGTGTGGTCTGTCAGGAAAGACTGTAAGCAGACAGAAGCTGCTTCTGTTTCCGTATGTTATGCTTTTAATTTTTAACATTCTCACATCCAAGGTAGTTTTGTCGTGTGTTTAGAAGTAGCCTTCACTTTAACAACTGTGGGCTTTGCTAATTTGCATTTTTTTTTGGCTCAGTGTAATCAGTCATGAGTTACCCGACCATCTGGAGGAATAAACTTGAGGAGAGACCGATTTCAGGTTGTGGTACCTTACAGATCTATTTTTATTCTCAGCTCAGGGTTTTGCATACACAGATAATGAGGAGAACAGGTATCTTACATATATTTGTGAAATGTTTCAAATTATTTTCTTCAGAACATGTATCTTTATATATAGATAGCTCAAATAACATCTAAATGATGATTTTACCATCCTGTCATAGTTCCATATGTAATATGCTGTGTGACCTGTCTTGAGGTCTGTCTGGTGCATATGTGCATTTTTTTCTTTCCTATCACGCTCACATAGCCACCTGGAGAGACCGTTCAGTGTTGCATGTTTTCCCTTTTTAAAGTTACCTTTGACTTATGATGTTAGGCAAATAAACTCAAAGTTAATTTTTCTTATTTAATTGAAGCTATAAAGTATAATATATGCATCAGAAATCACAAGAAATGGTTTTACATTAAACATGTTTTTCACCTGAGTCTGTTCTGCAGCAGTTTATGTTCTGAAAAGAATGGGAGAAGTTGTAGCATGTCTCCTGAGTGATGAAGCCATGCTGTCTGGACCTCCCACACATCTGAATAAACATGTTCTTATTCTGGAATGGTAGTACTGTGTGTCTTTGCCTTTCGCTTAGTTATTTAAATCGTGGTTCCTCTTTATTAAACAAGTAAAACTTTTTTGGGGAGGGTGGGGGCAACATACAGCTATTTAGAAACTTGGTGAACATAGGAGTCTCTTAAAGAAAGTCCTGAAGGTGTTACTTGGGGATGTCCCAAAGTGTTTTCAAGACATACATGCTGCTTCTGGTATGATTTCCAGCCTATCTGCCTGACTTGTGAAGGCGGGCACATGTGCAGCCCGCTCCTCTCATAGTGCCTGGGTCTCAGCTGTGGCTACATCCCTTTCTTCCAGAGGCAGGGTGGCACATAGAGCATGGCATCAAATGCATCAGTAACGGTGTGCATATGAAGTAATCTAGCCAAGCTGTCTAGATGTTTTAAGAATTGTGAAATAATCTCATAATTTTTGATATAACTTTATATTGTTTATCTTAGTGTTTTCATCATCTTAGCAGAGGTGGGGAAAGTTTCAGATAATAGTTAATTTTTCTGAAAAGAAGTTGCAATGAAAGAACACTTCTTCTGAGGGTACGGGGGCTGAGGAAGGACAGTACTAAAATCTACCTCCAAACTGGAGGCTGTTTGGTACCCATTTAGATTAGGTGTTTGCACAAAGTGACTGGAGCCCCTGACCTTCAGACTGGCAGCACCCAACTCTGACAGGAAAGGTGTAGGGAGGGGTAGCCAGGCTAAGACCAAGGCATTGGAGCTGGCTGGTATGTTTCATCTGCCAGGTGAGCCATGGTGTTCACATCAGAAGCTGTGGTTAAGTTCCAGGTTTCAGAGTCCATAAAAGCAAATGAACTAAACAGTTGATCTTTAGTTGATTCAGAAGATACTTTGGGCTGAGTAAGTGGCTTTGTATTGAGTGACAGTTATTTGGGGGCTAGTCCAGTGATGAGCAGTTACACTGAAGAGACCCCTAGAACTGTGGGTCTGTTTGACATCCTTAGGAATGGCCTGAGCACAGAATGAAAGAAGGCTGGGAGGAGACTTGTGTAGTGTGTGTCCTCTGAAGCTTTCTTTGCGTACAAGGTTCTGTCATGGCTCTCCCTAGGGAAACTTTAAAAGAAGTAGAAAGGCTGGGCAGTTACTTCATAAGGAGTCTAGGATCCCCACTCCCCACCCTCTTCCCCGCATAGGCTCAGTCTGCCTTGTGGTTTCAGTTCAAGGTTTTCATTTGAACTATGGGGCAGTGATGCAGCTTAACAACAAACCTGATGTTGTGCAAAGTGAATTAAACACTGGCACAATTAAGTTTAAAATATTGTAAACTCTTGTAACACTTGATTAAAAAATGTATGGTTGTAGCATGTGGCCTTAATGGTCTGCCAACAACTATCATACCAAGAGTGTGTCTGAATAAACCAACGTGACTACTTTGTATTTTAAAGCACTATATTGATTCTATTTAATTGGTTTTTAAAGCGACTGATTATTTTTAAAGTAACACTTCATTGAGATTCATATACCACAAAATTCACCCTTTAAAAGTATGCAGTGTCTTAGCAGAGTTGTGTAGCCATTACCAATGATTCCAGAATATTTTCATCACTCCAGAAAGAAACCTTGTCTCATTAGTGGTCACTCCCTATTTCTTCCAACCCCATCCCCTGGCAACCACTGATATGCTTCCTGTCTGTACAGATTTACCTGCTGTGGAAATTTCATATAAGTGGAATACAATATGTGGCATTTTTTACCTTCACTTAGCATGTTTTCAAGGGCATTCATGTAGCATGTATGAGTATTTCACTTCTTTTTATAGCTGAATAATATTCCATTGTATAGATGTACTGTATTTTGTTTGCCCATTTGTTAGTAGATGGACATTTGGGTTGTTTCCACCTTTTGGCTATTATACTGATGTTATGAACATTCACGTACATGTGTTTTTATGGGCATCATTTTCATTTCTGTCGAGTAAATGTCTAGGAGTGGAATTGGGTCATATGAGTCTGTTTAACCACTTGAGGAACTGCCAGACTGTTTTCCAAAGTGACTGTTCTACTTTACATTTCTGTCTGCACTGTATGAGGGTTCCTTTTTCTCCATATACCAACAAAAAGTTACCTGAATTTTTAATTATAGCCAACCTATTGGGTGGTGTCTTGTTGTGGTTTTGACTTACATTTCCTGATGACCAATGATGTTGAACATCTTTTCCCATACTTGCTGGTCATTTATATATCGTCTTTGGAGAAATGTCTGTTCATATCCTTTGCCCATTTTTCCATTGGGTTATTGTTATGAGTACTTTGTATATTCTGGATATAAGTCCCTTATAAGAAATGTAATTTTCAAATATTTTCTCCCATTATTTGGGTAGTCTTTTCACTTTCTTGGTGGTATCATTTTGCAGCATGTTATTTTGTTATAATTCATGTTTTTACTTTTGCTGCTTGTGCTTTGGTGTCACATCTAAGAAACCATTGCCCAACCCAAGAGCACAAAAATTTGCCCCTCTTTTTTTCCCTAAGAGTCTTACACTCTCAGCTCTTATATTTAGGTCTATGAACCATTTTGAGCTAATTTTTGTGTATAATGTGAGGTAGGGGGTCCAACTTGATTCTTTTATATGTAGATTATTAGTTATCCCAGTACTATTTGTTGAAAAAAATTCTTTCCCACAGAATGGTCTTGGTACCCTTGTTGAAAATCAGTTGATCATAAATGTAAATGTATTTCTGGATTCTCAATTCTTCTCCATTGATCTACATGTCAATCCATGTGCCAGTACCGCACTATCTCAATTACTGAAGCTTTGTAGTAAGTTTTGAAACCCAGTAGCATGAATCCTCTTTGTTCTTTTCCAACATTGTTTGACTGTTATGGGTCCCCTTACATTTCCATATCTTCGGATAACTTCTGATTAACTTCTGTAAAAGCAGTAGAGATTTTGATAGGGATTGTGTTGAATCTGTAGATCAAGTTAGGGAGTATTGCCATTCTAGCAATGTCTCCCAATCCATTAACACAAGATGACTTTGCATTTATTTAAATAATTTCTTTACATGATGTTTTTTAGTTTTCAGTGTACAAGTCTTACATTTTAAAAAAATTCTTTTTAATGTTATTGCAACTAGAATTGCTTTCTTCAGTTTGTTCATTACTAGTGTATAGAGATACAACATATTTGTATATGAATCTTGTATCTTGCAAGCTTGCTAAACTCATTTATTAGTTTGAATAGATTTTTAGTGGATTTCTTAGGATTTCCCATATATAAGATCATGTCATCTGCAAATAGTTTTACTTCTTCCTTTTCAGTATGGATCTCTGTTTTCTTGCCAAATATTCTGGTAAGAATCTCCAATAGTGTTGAATCGATATGGCAACAACAGACATCCTCGTCTTGTTCCTGATCTTG